AGGTGGGATTACCAGGCGGTGCATATCTACCTGCTGAAGTGGCTCGTACAAATCACCTGCGATAAAATCTTAGATGAACCGCGGACAGATGGATTGCTTACTCAACGGGTAAAAAAGCTAAACATAACTGTCAGGTATTGGTCTGCAACGATTGTGATTATAATATTGTAATTTTATGTAATTATTTGGGCCAATATGGTCAAAATCTGTGATATCTGCTCAACTTCTCATGCAATGTACACGCATAGCATATTTCTTGACCTTTTAGACTAGTCATCGATTAGTGAACTTACTTCTGCCCCTTGTTATGAATCTTGTATCTGCATGATCACTGTAGTACTGGACTCTACAAGATCTTTCAAAAATCTTATTGTCTTTTCAACCCACTATATTCTGACAAGCTTGCTCACTTTTTACGGAGTCAGCGCGCTAGAGCATTTTGGACCGCTTTCCAACACCTTAAATAGCCGAAAACGAGCTTGTTGTCGTTGCGAAGTACTCTTCTAATCCACGGTCATTTTTGTAGACTTGGCAGAGCTGACTTTTTTTTTCGGAGATCTTCATTCAAGCACTATCAAATCATCTTGACATACAGTTTATCTCCAGTGCATGCTTAATGAACAGCCCATCATCCCTTCTTACTATTTGATTAAGATGACCGAAATTTTTAACGAATTTGTAGAATCTGAGGAGATAAACTACTAACGACTTCTTTCTTACATGACCAGTCTCATATCTCGTCTGATGCTTTTTCGGTACTGTTTTGAATCTGTTACGTGGAAATTTCATGGATAAATAACATATGTTTTTGACACCTGTTTTCTTGAGAAGTGTAGATTACTTCTTTACTTGCTTTATGAACCTCCTTCCCCCATGTTTCGCAGGAGATCCATAGTACTGCAGGAGTTACAGATGTCAAGAAACATGAGAAACCCTATGTCGTCCCTAAAGATGTATTAAGTACTAGTACTAGTTGAAGATATATTGTTGTAGTCTGTTCCTCAGAAGACTGCAGGTTGAATTCTTCCAAAACGGCAAAGGAAATCTACGGATACCGAAGTGTTCCAAATAGCTCTAATAAATGCGTGTATCTTGACTGTCTGCGGATGAGATACGCTGTTGTGGTTTTCTTGTGTATCAATGTAATCATGCGCAAATGACTGAGAAGATATTTAGCAAAATGTGACATGAGCAATACTATATATATTTTGAGATGATTCACCAAGTCAATAAAATTGGAATAGGCGCCGCTATCATATCATAGGCAGTGTCTGGGCAGCCGAGTGTTGTGGGACTTCAGTGCCAAGTGAAAGTAGACCCCGGGCAAACCATCGTAAATGTGTTACAAAAAGGGTAAGCGAGAAGTTCGACTGGTAAGTTGGAACACCTGTCCATAACAGATCTTTGGGGCCAGCTTGCGGTTCTCCTCCTTGCAAGAACCGCCGGAGGCGACCTTCCCCCCTAAGTTCTGTCTCAATATCCCCCCTCCCTCCCTGCATTATCGTTTGCCAGCCGTGGGCACGACAAAACGCTACCAAGCATAATTAGTAACATATCTACGTAATTTCATGTCAAATAACCCCTGTAGGCCAAGTTTCAGCGAATTTTGAGAATTCCCGATTTAGGGCCACCCAAGTAAATGGTCATTTTCAAACATGGTTAACTACAAAAATGATTTAGCGACCGCTTTTTGTGCTCTGTACAAAGCATACTCCCTTTTTATTTATACTATGAATCCTGCTCTAAATAACCATCAAACTGTGTGGAATTGAGAGCCAGCAAAATCTCATTTGTCCCATTTCTGGCTTACAGTGGTTCCAGCATTATTGCGCAAACGAAAGAAGACGATTTTAGGGCCGCATGCACTAACATCCCTGCGGCGAGGGGAGCGGCGTCCCCAATGATGAAAAAGTCGCAGCGGCGTCCGCACGCGGTCCCTTCATAACGGGGGACGCCGCTCCCCTCGCCGCAGAAATGTTAGTGCATACGGGCCTTAGACTTCTACAGAAATATAACTGTTCGCTAAAGGGTCAAAGGGGAATTCGTAACAAAATTTTGGGTCAAAGGAGAATTCGTTTTCGAAAACCCCTTTTGACAACCTCGTGCCGGGCGCTGCTTGAAGTGAAAAGTAAACCTAATATCAATTCTGGTGGCATTGTCGCAAAGTGACTTTTATTGGGCTTTCTTGACAAAATGTCAATTACAAACTGCATCTACAATAATCTGCACGATAACATTTTTTCATGAGCAAGTGCTTCTTCTACATTACCAGAAGACTGAAAAAGTGATCGATTTTTTTCAATTTCAAACACCCTAGCTGTGAATATTCCGGAACAAAACAAATTCTTTATTTATGACATTCTTGATCATAGCACTACCCAAAGTTTTGACTAGCATCGCAACTTCGAATATCTATCAGTTCTATATTTTCGTTTTTCCAAAATATTAGGTTGTTCGGAAATTAATCGTTTTGAATTTCAACCGCAATAAGTCATACACTTTTCATTTCTGAATAGCTTTCAAGGTATCTTCCGATAGAGCAAAGCAAGCTCTACAAGGAGGCAGTCTTGCTTTAACAGCAGCTCTGATCCACCTCGAGTTTCGAGCCAAAAGGTAAAAAGATTCAACTGCCCGGAAAATCGAGAAAAACCATAACTCACAAGGGAACCGTGTCGAGTCGAAGTGGCCTTTCCAGATGAGACCCATACCGCTTTGAAGGGTATTAAGCGATGATTCCAAATCTGCCTTCCAAATCTGCCAAGCGCCTCTGGACGCCGAGTTATGATCGTTCTTCGGAACGAAAAATGAATGCAGAATTTAGGTAAAATTGATTGTTACAATCTTTCCAGCGCTCAGATAAAGCAATGTTAAGTATTAGCATATTAAATAAAATTTATCTATTGCATAAACAGCTTTGATACTTGACACTGGACCATTTGAGCAAATTTCTTTGATTTTGCTTCAGTTTTGCGTTCAATTTTTTGACCTGAAAAACGAGCATAACTTGGCGTCCAGAGGCGCTTGGCAGGTTTGGAAGGCAGATTTGGAATCATCGATAAATGCTCTTTAGAGCAGTATGGGTCTCATCTGGAAAGGCCACTTCAACTCGACACGGTTCCCTTGTCAGTTCATAAGAATCCTGCAAAAATTCTAACTTGCTCCCGTAAACACTATCCACATAAGACATACAACATATACGTACGCAATTGCCGTATTTTTTCCTTTGTTAGAAGTCGAAAAAATGAAAATGATCATGCTTTTGCCAAAGAGTGATGCTGTGTCGTCCCCACTTAAGTAGATGTGTACTACAAATCTGTAAAAGTACAAACATGAATTTTCAGCTCTCTACAAGCTTTAGTTCTCGAGAAATATCGAATATAGCTTTCATCAGTCAGGTGGTCCACTAAAATTCAAATTTTTCGAGAACTAAAGCTTGTAAAAAGCTGAAAATCCAAGTTTTTACTTCTACAGATTTGTAGTATACATCTATTTATGTGGGGACGACACAGCATCACTTTTGCAAAAGTATGAAAATTTTCGTTCTTTCGATTTCTAACAGAGGAAAAAATACGGCAGTAGCGTACATGTATGTCCTATATGGATAGTGTTTACGTGAGTAAGTTACAATTTTTGTAGAATTCTTACGAACTGAATTATGATTTTTCTTGATTTTTCGGGCAGTTGAATCTTTTTATTTTTTGGCTCGAAACTCGAGGTGGATCAGAGCTGCTGTTAAAGCAAGACTGCCCCCTTGTAGAGTTTGCTTTGCTCTATCGGACGGTACCTTGAAAGCTATTCAGGAATGAAAAGTGTATGACTTATTGCGGACATTGAAAATCAAAACGGACATTAATTTCCGGACAACCTAATATCTCGACTCGACTTGCAAAACCGTCTGTCAGCAAAGAGTTCTTTTCAGCATTTCGAACTAGTAAAGCATATTGATTTTTCAGCATTTTCTATGAATAGATTATAACGATTACAGTACTTAGCGCAGTTTACGATTTTTTAAGGAAGCTTGGGTTCAGTTTTAATTGTAACTTCCAGCAATCGTAACCACTATGAAAAGAAAAAAATTTCAGTTGGGTTTTGGACTTGAGAAATGGACCAAGGAAACCCGCTATGTATCAAGATACGAAAGTAAATTACATAAAATACATTGCTTTTGGCACGCAAATGAATTTCCACATGGTTCTGCGACTAAGTGGTATATTGCCTGCAGACGTAAAAACACGGCATATGGTAAGCAAAAATTATTTGTGTCATAATATGTGAAGTAGTGCCATCATAGTACAGACCAGTGGCGTACCCAGTATTTCGGCTCGGGGCGGGACAAAAATTTTTTTCTAATGAAGGTGCGTGGCGTCACCCACGCATTCCGAAAAAATTTTTGGGATGTCCACGCCCCCGAAAAAAATTTTTTTACAAGGCTAATTTTTAGAAATTATTTTAATTATTTACTAGTAAAATCAAGCCCTCTGCACATTTTTATAACGCATTTAAGTAACTTTTAAGAATTTCGCGACCCATTTTTGGGGGGGGGCCTTCCCCCCCCCCTCGGTAGGCCACTGTACCAGGCAGAATGATTGAATTTTATGTCAGAGAATGCCGCGAGCATACCCTTTAAGAAGCGGTTTTAGGATCCTGAGACGATCTAAATTCAGAGACTACAAGAAACATTACAAAACGCATGCTAATTCATAAAATTGTCAAAATTTTCGCTTTGAACTCCAACTTTCACTGCAAATTTTATCTGAAAGGCGATGATAATAAAGAAAGTTGGTGGGGGGGCAACTTCGTGAGCCTCTACCGCGCAGCGCGACGTCGGAAAAATACCATGAATTTTTAACGAAAAGGAAAGCAGAAATACATCCTTCCACTAAGTTACAATAGTATAGAACCAGCAAAATTTCATATCCCTCGCTGAGCAGCTTTTATGTTCGTGCTGGCACTTAGAACGCACCTATAATGATGCGCCCTGTAGTAATACTGTCCACATAAGTGCAATAATTTATTCAACACTTTATCATAGATATCGCAATATGTTCATCGCCATGCCTCGTCGTCTCCTGCAAAATGATCTGTTCTCTTTATAGTTGAATAAAGTCAAAGCAAAATTCTACCTTGCGATAAATGTGTACAATGAACGAGCGAAGATCGGCCAGACAATTATGAACAATATAATAGGAATAAATTTAAGAAGGCGAGTAAATGTGAAGAACGGCCGTTGACGGGCCTGTAAGACGAGGACAATCAAGTAATTGCAAAGCATCCTAGGGCAGTAAAATTTATTCTTTATTCAGCCAAATTCTAGAACATTAGTGTGAGCTATTAGGTCGATGCATGATTCTTGCACCAAAATTTCTGAAACTCTGTTGCTTCCTCCAGCTTCAAGGATACCTTCTGATCCGATATATTTTAGAGAGGAATTCTTGCACTTTTCTCAGGTGCTTGACAAAACTTTTTGAGGGCATATGGTGACGATATAAACTGATTACGATAAATACCAAAAAGTGATTTTTTGATTTTTGGTCATTGAATGCCAGATCATGGAATAAAATTTAGATATATTTTTGATCTAAGTTCTGTGACATATTTTTAACTAATATAAGGTGGTAGTGATTGGATGTTGCGACTAGTTAAGAATTTTGATTTTTCTAGAGCAACTTATTGCTTTTGTTCGATACTGGGTTTCTAAGTGAACTATAAAATTCTGCTTTTGATGTACATAACAAAGAGCATATTCTCTAACTTAGATTATTTGAGCATTTTTAGAACATTTTTTCTAATTTTTGGCACAAGAATTGTGTATCAACCTAGTTAAAATTTACCTTGATCAATTTGTTCAGCAACTGCGCGATAATCTTCAACTGCAGTGAGTTCGTAGACTCAATGTCGTACAGTTGACGACTTAGCATCTGCATTTGTTGATTTATCTGGATTAGCACCGGATAATGTGTGATTTCCTGGAACTGCAACGGAATTTTCCTTTCAGGATCTACTGATGTCAAAGAGTGTCACTAACTGTATAATTCACAGCCCTCCAGTCGTCAGGAGATTCTGAGTGTTCACTGCTGCTCTTCTGCCCGTTTCTTTTGGTTCGTTCCACCCTAGTATTAGCCGATCTGCGACTTCGAATGCCTAATTGACCTGAACTATCTGTGAAACGATATTAGTGGCACCTTAGGTGATAGCAAAGTTGGATTGTATGTCGCCACCTTACCTTCTGTAACTTTTTCTATGCTTGAGTGATCGCTACTACTTGATCTCTTGTTCTTCGTTGTCGAAGATGCAGAACGTAAGAGTGGAGGAAGAATTATGGCTTGTGGACGAGGTCTAAAAATTATTTTTTGCCATATATACTGCCGAATAAGCAAACTATGATAAAAAATTTTGAATGAGTGAGAATATTCCAAAATCCACATATCGAAAAGTTAGTCTACAGAAACGCTTATGGAGCGCAGCCCAGTGATGACGGCCAATACAGTGCTCTTGCGGTGAGGGCATCATCTGGGCGAAAAATGCCACGCTTACAACCGCAGACAACTTGCTTGCGATTTGCGCAAAAATGGTCATAGAGCTGACCGTGAAATCCACTTTTTATCAAACATATAACATTACCATCAACCTTTTTTATGAGCAACGAGGGTAAAAGAGTTTATGACAATTTGACTTACTGACCGTTCCCTCGTCAAGTGCTCGGCAGCCACTTCGCATAACCTCCTCAGCTCAGATTCGCTTTCATCTAGGGCATCTTCATATGCTGAGAGCGTTCCTAAATCGAGCTGTTCCGCGGGACTAGGAGGAGAATTTGACGTAGAGGCCATGACCTGCAAAAGTGAAGTTGTCAGGCTGTAAAGGTAAATGCCAATAGAATATACGATTTAATTACGACGGGCTGTTTTCTTTGATTCGAAACTAATTTTGACCTGAAAAATCAGTAACAGAAGGAAGCTGACAATCAGTGCAAGGCTTCTAATGTCGAATCTAGAGACACTTGTGCTTTTAACTCCATATTATACAGCAATGGATGCAAAGTAAGTATATAAGGAACAAAGTAGGACAATGTGACCATGCTATGACCTTTAGTGGGGAAGGCGATGTAAAAGCAATCGATGCCAACAGATGGTTGTACTTGCGTCACAATCGTCACTTAGTTCCTGTTATGGTATGGGGTTTACTTTTGGTCTCAAAAGTGACTTATTTGAAGCATAAAAAACGCTTTACCTAAGGCGAAGGCGTAAAAATGTTATTTTTTCGAGTTTAAATATCAATTTTAGATTCCTCGATTGGTGTAATTTGGGCAAGAAGTCAGCACTTCAAGGCCAGAATCAAACACACGGAGTTTGATTATTGTTATAGCCAATTCGATAGGGTCGAATAACTTTCTGTTGGCAAGTAAGCTTTTACGATCAGATGCTGCAGAAAGAATGTTGATAAGAAAGCAGAAGAAATTAATTGTCTCAAACTTCCAGATTTTTTTCCGAAAAAAAGCTATGATAACGGAGTGTATTCTGCAAAACTATTTGTGAAAAAGAAGCTAATGGTAGGAGTAGAAAGAAGACATAGCGTTTAAACCCACAGCACACATTTACTGAAAAAAGAGTATAATATTGTATTACAAGTTAGAATACTATTAGGTTGGCACATAAGTAATGCACCTTTTTATATAACTTTCGTCTTTTTGGAAGTTGCGCATTCATTTACTGGCAATCTAAGGATTATCGAGTAGACTGCAAATGCACAAATTTTTGCCGAATCTTGGCTTATTATGCAAGGGTAACGGTATGCTTACGGTATAATGGGAAAACTTCTAGAAAGCGTCAGATTATGCCGAAACTTGGCCGCTGAGGTTATTCGACATGCTGATCACAAAAATGAGATTTGTTTCGCATGAAAAGGACTCTGTCTCAAGGTCAAGGAATGAATTTTCATCACGGCGACAATTGAATGTGATATTCGTGTTCACTAGGTTGGATTACCCTAATGTGCAAAGTTTTAGCGAATTCTGAGGTTTTGCCGCTCAGTTATAATATTTACAGATGATCCTCCAAATTTGTCGCATTCGACTTATTCAAATTCACAAAGGCGCCTTGAATTTTTTTGAAATTGTACTTCTTTTTTTACTGGTTCTAATGCGTTAACTTCTTGCTACATGCTGCTCAAATTCCTTTTCGATATGTTTGACTCAGGTTTTGTATGGTCTCATGATCGCCAAAAAACCGTGAGACCTCGATTTCCAGCAATTTTCGAAAACTGCTTGAATTTTTTAGACTTGCAGCCTACGTCACAGCTTATATGATGCCAGAAAATGAAAAGGCTACATTGAATAAGAAAAAAGTTATGAGGAAAGTTGCACAACTTGCGTGCATACGTAATAAATAATAGAGGCAAATGTCATTGACCATGACTATCTCAGAAACCTTCAGTCCTGAAGCTTGGGTCAGACGACGTAATCAAGTTCATGTCTCACAAACTGCACTTCATTTGGTTCAGAGTTTTTCATAATGCATTAATTAATGGTATACTTACTAATACAAATCTTTGAAGTGAAATTTTTCAGAACTATGTAATAAAAAAGCGCTTGTGAATAGTATGCTTATGGTCATACAAGAAGTAAGGTGTGTGTCTGAAAGCAAAAAAGAGAAAGCATAAAGACTTTTCGCGTTGCTGACAGATAAGCAACATACGTGGCTTCTAAACGTTCACTAGAAAACGAGCTCCATTCAAGCGATTGCTAATTCATTCAGATTCGTTACACGACTCAAGTTCCATGTATTGGCCAATGCTGATATCATTCACGTGATCAACCCTAGGTTGAGAAAACATTTGTGCGCCATTTACTTTCACTTAATTTGAGCAGTGAGCAGATAAATAGCAGGTAGGCCCGGAAGTTCTGTCGCATCATTTTCAATTCATAACTTCTGGGTTTTTCGACCATATTGCGTGTTTTCATTTTTATCTGAGAGAACAATTTATTCTCTTGATAAATGTACCTCAAAGGCTTTCAACTGAGCATACACTGCATAGTTAAAAGCGGTAGAAGAAATTTACTAAAAATTTTGAATTTTCTGTGTAGGGTCATAACAAATCCGAAAATTGCAGTAAATATCGGAGCTGTCAGTATTATAGGTTCTATCACCTGCTTTTTCTAACTGTTCAAAGTTTGCGATGATTGAGCGTCTCTGCGAAAAGTTATGATTTTTGCGGAGAATACCAGAATAAATCAAATTCGCCCTTTTGTATTGCTTGCTCGTAAATCATAACTTTTCATAGAGAAGCTCAATCAGCGCAAACTTTGAACATTAGAAAAAGCAGATGATAGAACTTATAATACTGACAGCTCCGATTTTTACCGCACTTTTCGGACTTGTTATGACTCTGCAAAGAAAATTCAAAATTTGAGTAATTTTCTTCTACCGCTTCTAACTATGCAGTGTATGCTCAATTGAAAGCCACTAACAATAAGGCACATTTATCAAAAGAATGAATTTCTCTCTCAGATACGAATGAAAACACGCAAATCGGTTAAGAAAACCAGAAGTTATGAATTTTTGAAAAAGGTGCGATGAACTTTCGGGTCAACTTAATATTTCTGAGATGTATGCATGATTTTTTGTCAAGTAAAATTTATTGTAAAATCGGTGTAGATATCGACCTGGAGGAAGTAGAAGATCCAGCATAATTTTCTATTCGAGAGCGGACTCCGAATCATTCTACGGCCGTACTATTGCCTGTGGTCGCCCAACGTTCCAGCAGGTGAGTGCGATGGGTTGTACTTTGGAAGAGCGCTAAGCAAAAACGCTCTAATAGAACCATAAACGTATTAAATGTAATAGTATAATCATAATCCCTTTAAAAAATGATATGGTAGTGTGATGCATTCAATGCCATCCATATGAAAATTGATTATATAAAAATCTCTACCACGCGTACCTCTACAGCGTAATGATTGTTTTATTCCACCAAAGAGGTATAGCGCATCATCAAGTTTAGATTAAATTCTTTGTGTTACCACAGAGCCTCAAAAGTTTCGCTCACACTGCAAGAAGAGAGATGTTGAAATTTTATTTCATTCTAAGTGCCCAGCGCACAATTGTAATCCTTGAAACCTGTCGAAAAAATAGCAGAACTATCCAAACGAACACGATTAAGGCACCCTGTGAACTGCAAAACTTAGTGGAACCTCGCTGTTGTACAACACGATTTAGATGGTTTCCACCAAATTCGGTGGAATTGTTGTATTATTGAATCTAGTGAATAAAATATACATAGGCGATCTTCTAAGGCAGAGCTCTAGACGATTCCAAAAAAATAAACACTAAGATCAATAAGATAGGATACCGTACCCAGACACATATATTTGGCTTATTGTCTACTCCAGAGGTGATAGTAGGAAATGGGTGATACAAGCGAGAATTTTGCTGCACAAAAAAAAATCTAGATAGCAAAACTTTGGCAAAATTTCAACGAGCTTCGAAATTGAAATTGTCGTGGATAGAAGTAAAATTGTCAACAGTGGAACATTCAAGTGCCGACATCAGTGGGAATCCTATAAAATAGAGCGAATAAGATTCGAAATTAATCTGTATAGTAATCAGCATTAGAGGCCATGACGTCCTTCCAATCGATGTGAATGCTTCGATTAGTGGCCGCATTGCTGATAGCAGAGGCACAACATCCCAACCCGTATCTTTTGACGACACTACGCACTGGCGGTGTCGCCCTGAATCGACCATTCCGAGTGCATTTTTATGGGTCGAAAATGACCATTCTTACGGGGGAAGGATACTTGGATGCCGAAGCCATTCATAATGATTTGTATACCAAAAAATGCGCTCTTAAATGCTGGTTCGTAGACTGTCTTTCATATCTGCGAAACGATAATCTGAATGGAGTTATGATTTTTTTCATTAAAAAAAATTGCGTTCCTGCGGAGGGTCAAAATCATCAATAAAAAAATTTTCTCTCCTTTCCAAATGCCGAGTATGATCCAGATAGTCTAAATAAATATTACTACGTCTAAAATTTTCTTCAGTAGCATCAAACGGTAGGCTAGATCAAATCTGGTGATTTTTGCTATCCAAAAGTAGGCTAAATTTTCAAGGAAAAAAGTTCATAACTTTCTTCAAAGTATCGTTTCGCAGATTTCGAGCACAGATTCAGAATCTGCATACGAAGGCGCATTTTTTGGTATACAAATCATTAGGAATGGCCGCGGCATCCAACTATCCTTCCCTTGTTAGAAGAATGATAAAGAATGAGTCGTTGTTCAATCGTGCAACTTACCCAGTAAGAAATACAAGTACCGTCTGTAGCACGCATTACTTTTCTCCCCCCAGTTACGCCACACTAAGTAATTGATGCAATTGATTGTGGTAACAACAACAAATGAATTAGTCTACCGCTTGGGACTAGCCAAATGTAGTCATAAAACTTCCTCGTGTACGTCATCACGATAGTGTCAGCTCCAGTTTTTTTAGGAAAAGGGCTGCTCTTTTCTAGATAAGGAAGGCAGTGTAGGTGGAAACATGTATTACGTTTGGAAACTCAACGTCATTCAAATGATTGTTAGAAGAAATTAGTAAGAAGCTTTATGTACAGTTGTCGACGATATTTCCTATCTCTGCTATTACCATATTTCGTACAAAGTGATTACTCACTTATCGAAAAATAGCCGTAAGGCGTACTTTGAAAATTTCAACATTACCATAAGCAATGCATCAAGGATTTGAAGCACGTGGTCTGACAAAACAACAAGCAGAGCTAAACCAGGAAATTTTTTACAGCAGTAGTATCAGAAAATGTTGTGGCCCTAGCCAAGGCAGGAATATATGCGAAGTTTTGGCAAGGTACTCATAAATCTTCAAGCAAAAATGATCATATTTATTCCAACGTATATATTTCCTCAACGGGAAGTAGCAGATAATATTGTGAAAACGAGAAATCATGGAAAGTGACATGCTTCAACTGAGATGGCAATTAGCATATGAACGAATCCAAATTTCTATCAAATTGAACGTGCAAGTAAAAAACATGTTCTTTCCGAAGTACTTCCCTATTTAAATGGAGTCTTTAGCCTATTATTTTTTGGATAAATCTAGCGGAATACAGCGTTGACTAGAGATCAACCTAGTTTCACAGAAGGCTTCGTTCATCCACTCCAGAATCATTTTTTTTAAACTGAATAAGTGACACTTTCATTATGGTCATCCACAATCGGAAATGGTCACCATCGAAAGCTTTTTGATTGGTCTTCGACAAACACCTCCAACTGAATCATTATAGGAACTTCAAATATTTCGTTTTTCTAATTGGCAATGACTTTCTGCGTTTGAGGTTTCACCTACAAAGTTTTTTGTTTGCTTTTTTGTCTGTCTTCAAGCGTGATTTGGCAAGAGGTCTGGTCATTTACACCAGCACTTTCTCCTGTTTACGGACATCACTTTCCGTATGATCAGCACTTGTTGATGGTTGATAGCAATCTCACTACGACCTTGCACGAAACATAATAAAGGCGGAAATTGGTAGGTGACTCCACCAGCAATTACCAACGAAAAGCAAGAGTTCGAAGTTTCCTTGAGTCTATGACGGTTCGTCTTCTTTTCTTCGCAACTTTTCAAAAAACTTATGGCATGAAGAATTATTGTGACCTCAGCGGGAACCCCGTACACATAGGTCTATACAGAGGTCTATACATCAAAGGCACGGAAATATATACTGTGAAGAGTGGAACAAAACTGTGGTGACATCGTCGAGAGAGTGGGATGAGTCACGATCACGTTCTGAAGGTAGGAAGGTGACCCCCACCAGTCTTGCGCGCTCTTTTCTCGTAACCTGTTTGCCTTGTAGAACTTCTCTGTGTAAAATTTGCCACAATACGTCTGCGCATTGATTTCCTACTATCTTTCCGTGCTTGGTGAAGTCTCCTCAGAGTTCCGCATTCCAGTTATACTTTCCCCGGGGGGAATATGTTATTGAATGTTCAAACTCGAGATGTCTAGAAGATTGCATAGCCTGCTAGAGTTCAAAACACAACGATCTTCATTGAATTCCTTCATCTGAGTTCCTCAACGATCTCCATTGAATTCCTTCGTCTGAGTTTCTGAGCTCGTTAGCTAACAATCTTAATGATCATGGCCTTCTAGAAGTTGTACAAAAGTTCAATCGATAAGTCGTTGATCACAAATTTTCATTCGTTTTACTGAGAAAAGATCTGAAGAAAGGTAGTATGTGTGATTCTGCTAATAAAATCATCAATGTCAGCTAGTAGTTCCATGCTGAGAAACGAAATCTTATGTTATCCCAAGCAAGTTTGAGTGTTTTGAAAATCAAAACCGATTTATCCACCAGAAGAGCGAAAGCCCTTGTGATGCTAATCATTCTCACATACGAAAAGCTTAAAATTCTGTTGGCAGCCTGGCCCAGAAAATCGTTTTGGTGGGCTACTATAGTATTGGGTCCCATTAGTTTTTTACGGTTTTTACTAAGATCGTCGTCTTTTTGTACCTATTCTTCAATTGATATGGGTTCATCAATCATTCAGCAGGGCAAAGCAAGCTCTTCAAATTAGCTATTGAAAGTCTGCCAAGATCGTATTCCACATGAAGTTTTGAGCTGAAATCTGATAGCAGTCAAAAGCGAACTTCTCCGTCAAAAATCGTACTAATGCCTCAAAAAATCTTGAAAATTCCTCATTTATCCTAGCATATGTTTGACACATCGAACATTGAATTGCACAGTCTCCGTATTTTATCTATGGTTAGAAATAAGAAAAAATTGAATGGGGAAAGCTTGCAAACTCCGCCCCTAAACGTGCTGAGCTTCTCCCACGCACGTGATCATAATAGCTCGTACACACAGAATTACGACCATGTTTTTGTAAACTTTGTAGCCGCGCCTGGAGAAGTGCTGATGTTTAAGGTAAAAACGGTGAAAAATCATGAGACACCCTAATATATCAATAAGTTGAAAAAAGTTCACTATTTTATTGTGGTTACAAAAATTCTACCCGTCTTCGAATTTCGACTTGGATTTATCACAACTTCTTCTGAATATGAACATTTCTAGCATGATATATGCTATCAATGCCTCAAATCTTTGGCAATTTCATGCACGCTCAAAAATGATTGCAGCAACAAACAAAGACTTTCTAGGCAAAATTTCACACTCTTCTTTTGGTCTCTGGGTTGAGAAGCCATAACTTGATTTGGAATATACTAATATCGTATGTACTGCTCATTTTAAAGCCAGTAGTCGGCTGAGCAGTACGGTTGACCATGGATTTCAATTCCATGGAACTCTTTTTTGCAAATGAAAGTACCCAACTCGCTCACTCTGAGGTGGCAGAAAAAGCATTTTCTTTTTGAATTTTCGATTTTGTGCCGCCGACAATTGAGAGAACTTCGTTTTTTACCAAATGTTCCGCTAATCTCACTATACAGAGTGAAAGTTTCTTAATTTATTTTATGCAGCCAAAAGAGACAGATTATTTTATTTTAAATATTATTATTATTTTTTTGATTTTATTTTTAAGAGAAAGATTTATGCTAAATCTATAAACTCAAAATTTTTCTGAAATTATCTAGAAAATCATTCCGTACCACAACCCAATAAACATTACATCTGCTTCAGAAGAATATATTCCTCCTCTGCCTGCATAATTCATTGCAACGAAGCAAAAATAAAAATTCCACCTTCGTTTTGCTATCCTTTGACGAAAAAGCCACCGAATGAATAATTCTACGAAAAAGAAAGGTATGCATTGAAAATTCGAAAAAAAGAGTTTTGAAATGGAAAAATCAATATTCGTGAAAAAAGGTTCTTTTCTTATAACTAGGAGCTCAGAAAAGATACAAAAGCGGGCAGAACTTTTGAAACCATATAAATACCGTATGACTGACGTCACTTGCTTTTCACTGTCACTTACTTTTCTTTTTCTTTTTTCATTTTACTTCTTTGCTCGGCATCGGGCTTGACCTGTGCTTGAGGCTTTGGCTTGCTTTATGATGAAGTTTATTCCCAACTTTTCTGGCCTACTTACTTTAGAGGAAATGAGTGGTTAATGGAAAAGTGATGCAAATTTTTGCAGCGCCAATATAGTTTTTATAACTATTAATCACCAACATTTTGAAGATTCTAATTGTCACACAATCTAGTTTGGTTCGCCTAGAAACGAAAATTATTATTTTTTTAACAATGATAAATGAATAAGTATCCTTACAATCCATCATCAACACTGAATTTGCAAAGGCAGATTTGCAGAATAACAACAGCGCGATAGCATTTCAATACACTCAATTTATATACAGATGGTTCTGAAAGTTTTGATTTATTCTTATCTTATAGGAGGAGCCATGTTCATACTTATATACCTTTTATGAACTATTCCGTACATTAATCAGTAATTTTGTACCTCTGCTATGAAAAGAAATAAATTCAACGTTGACAATGCGAGGTCCTGTATCTAAAAATATTGATTTTATAGATTTTCGTAAATAACAAGACACCAGAATGTCCGTAACGGGACATTCAGATGTCGACATGGAGTCGGCATCTGCCTTCTCACCTTCTGAACCCTCCATAGATGGCGTATTCGTGTCAAAGCATAATCAGAGCGCGGAAATCTATCAGGTAACTAGACCAAGGAAGTGTTGCATTGATCGAGCATCATCGTCGATTTAGATCTTCAAAGAAGACGTAGATGCACTACTCTCTGGCAGAACTCCACAACTAGAGCAGCCACCGTTATTACAGGTAAGCCCGTATCAGTGCGGAGAACACCTTCAAATTTCTCAAAAATGACTGTTTCTCTTACAAAATTGCGACATCCCGTGTGAATTTTAGAATGGATATCAAATCGTAGACTTCAAAGTCAACTCCAAATCACACAGCCATATATAGGTAGCTCCATTCTGGCTTCTAATCATAGTTTTCTGCGAACCACTGACTTTTACAGCTTCTAGCAAAGCTATACTTTTGTATTTTCAACAAAATAGT